TGAGATGTACAAGTCGTTATGTCGAAAACGAGCTTTACAACTTTGGTGGGGGGAGGGGGAGGAGGATTGGGTGGGGGGTGGTGGGAGGATGGGAAAGGATGGGAAGGGGAAACAAAGGAGGAGACTACAATGCTTGGTAAGAAATGTACTCATTATCTTGCCCATGTAATTGTAACCTCTCTGTACAGTATTTTCACAATAAAAAAATAAAAAAAAAAGTATGAGCCACTGGTGTCCAGCTAACACCTATTATTGAAAAAATAAATAAATATTGGAGGAAACTAATTCAATAACTGGGTTCTCTGCAAGAAAAAGGGATTGATTTGTAGTATTTGTCAATTTTCATTTTGAAAATGCTGTCAACAAATTTCAAGTCTCTTGTCTGACATGCTTGTACCATGTGTGTGTATGCGTGTGCATGTGTGTATATGTAACAGATGATATAAAAATATAACTAGTGATTCTTGAAATATGGTCTAAGATTGCTTCCAATATTCTTTATATTTCCATGCATATTCATTTAATAGCACACTAGTATTTTTTATAATAAGGGATAAGCAAGATGATGGACTAAGACCTGCCACTGACAGAGTCTCAAGTGTACTCTGATGTGAACAACTATTCACACAAGAGAGTACTTTCACAAAAGCAAAAGAAACCAGGAGAGATCACAGAACCTGATTCTGGCCTAATAGATTTTTCAAAGAAGACAAGAAGGGAAAGTTGCCCACATTACCTGTGCTTCCCCTCAGAGAGAAACAGCGTGAAGATACTTTTTGCTTGAGCAAAAGACAGGAAAGCAAGTACAGGCCCTACATTTGAACCTTAGTACCAGATCCATTACAAGGAAATCTAGCTGTGGGAAGAATACCACAGTCCCACCATCAGCCCATTGCCAACATAAAAAGCCTGTAGACCTACCCGTGCACAAAATGAAAACCTAAGGCCCCAATAGCACAGAAGTATATTTCAGGCTGCATCACCTCCGACCAGCTGCAGTGGTCTTAGAGGGTGAAGATAAGCCATCTCATGCTTCAGTCCTGCCTGTGCTATGCAGCTCAGTGGAGTGTGGCATACTGACATGAATTAGCTCTGAGGCAACTGGGGACTACCAAGCCCATTCCTCAGACAGCACAACACAGACAGAGCTACTGTCCATTGAGGGAGGAAGAGGATGGCAGATCTTCCATACTGGGGACATGCTACCTGACCACTGGCTTTGGATGCGGCAATGAGGCTTACACTAGTTTCATAAGGAGGCTTGAGAAGAAGACCACCCTTGTTAGGGATGTCCCCATCCATCCTTAAGCAACACTATGATATGTTTATGACAAGAGTTTGGGACAGCCTTCAGTGACAAACAGTGGCTACACACCAACTAAAGCCTGATGGAATGGCTAGACTTAGGGAATAGCAATGACTAGAGGCCAGGAGCAAAACAATAAAAGTAAACAGCCTGCTTAGAGTATTTGAAGACACACAGAGGAGAAAGAAGGAAAAGAATGAATACATGGAACAGTAACGGGGCTGTGGGACAGCATGGAAAGAACAGTCAGGAATAGGTTCCATGATGACTTCATATGGACTTCTTTTTCAGATGATGAAATTTTCCTTCTTGTTGGAAATTAAAAGTCCCAGTATCAGCTAAAGCAATTATTTGAACCCCATGCCCACGGAGTTTTTAAAACAATGCAATTCAGGTTGTTGAGTTGCGTTGACCCCAGGGCTCAGAGGAGGACAAATAAAATCCAGTGGGAAAGATCAGAAGAGTTTATTGGATGAAAAACTGTTAGCCAAACATGGGAAAGGGGATTCCATGAATACTAACAAATAAAAACTCTTCCCAACTTTCCCCAAATGTACTATTTTTCAAATGTCAAACTCCCTATGAAGTGTACAAAATTATACATATTATGAGGTCATTTGCCTGAGACAGTATTCTAGGTTATGGAAGAAGAGAAGGAAGAAATTCCTATTCTACTTATAATAGTAATTTTCCGCAATAATGGTGATATATACATAAATATTCCTTTGTTTTATGTAGTTTGAAAAAAATCTAATGAATGAAATGGAAAGTTAAAAGTTTATTCAACTTTTATTTCTGTTGTTTATTTCTGTTCTGTCTTCCCCAAGGACCAGAGAATAGCAAAGGTCAGATCCTGACTCCAGGCTGTGTCTGGTGGGGAATTCAGATCACTCATAGTTAAACCAAGTGGGTAGTCAGAGTGGCCTGGGTAACTGAGATCCAAAGATAAAACAGAAATCTCACTCTTGCTGGCTCCCAAGACGTTTTCCAGAATTATCTGCAGAATTCCCCCCTCCTTTTCCCCATCTCTTTTTTTTTTGGGGGGGGGTCGGTCATGAGGCTTGAACTCTGGGCTTGGTGCTGTCCCTGTGCTCTTCATCTCAAGGCAAGCGCACTACTGCTTGAGCCACAGCGCCACTTCCAGTTTTCTGGTGGTTTACTGGAGATAAGAGTTTCACAGACTTTCCTGCACAGGCTGGCTTTGAACCGGGATCCTCAGATCTCAGCCTCCTGAGTAGCGGGGATGACAGGCGTGAGCCACCAGTGCCCAGCTTCCCCATCTCTTTTTAAAATGTTTTTAATTTAATTTTTTCTTCTTTAAATAGTTGTACAAAGGAGTTTCAATTCAGTATGTAGGTTCTTGAGTACAATGCATTTTCATCAGGGAATAAGATTAAGTTGTCATTTTATAAAGCGTAAGCATAGATAATGCAAATACTAAACAAGGAGGTTTTTAAGAATCAAAAAGTTTGTTTGTAAGGAAATACTTGCTGGCTGCCAGTGCTGTACATGCTGCATGTGCTGGGTTGTCATAGAGGACATTACCTGTCATCTTTAGAATAATTAAGCAGTGTATTCAACAGTACCATGAAGGCAGTATGCATTGGGCAGGACAGTTCCTGCTTGCTATTACCCCTCTCTAGCTGCATCACTGGTTAGAAAACACTTCAGGAAAGCAAATCTCTCCTTCTTTTAGCATTTTAAGATTAGCAAATTTAGATCCATGGGTTTTACATAGGGGATTGAGACACAGGAATGGAGAAACCCAATCTTCTTGGATCTGTCCAGTCCACTGCGAGTGTGAAATGGTTTGAATGGTATCTCCTCCAGGCAAAACAACTGTAATTTCCTAATCACATTATTGTCAGGATTTACAGGGGCCAAG